TAAATAATTCTGATACATGTCTTATATCCAAGATATACACACAGACAACTAACAAAAATATATAATACCCGAAGTTATCCAATTGACAAGTGGTCACAGGATGTGAAAAAAACGTATCAAAAGAAGAAATGAAAACTATTAATCACGTAAAAGATTGCTTCAGATCAAAAAAGATCATAAAAGAAATGCAAGTCAAAACAATTATGAGGTTTCACCTCATAGATTCAACAAATCGGCAAAGGGAACAAAAGATGTTACTAGCCCATGTCGGAGGCATTGTAGAAAAAAGGCACATGAATGTATTTCTGGCAGACCTGTGAGGTGTCCCAGACGTTCTGGAAAGTAATCTGGAATTTTGTCAAGAAAGTGAGTAAAATGTCCGTCTCATTTGGACCAGATACCTTACTACTACACCCAAAAATATTTTAGCAGTACATTTTGTAGCAGGAAAGAACCGGGAGCAAAGCAAATGCCCATTCATTGAGAAATCATTAAACAAGTTGTGATCCGTAAGTGTAAGAGAGCATTACAGGGTACAGAAACGATACATATGAAAAGTACAACAAAGCATGGGAAGGCTTTCAAGTAATGGCTGCAGAGTGAAGGCAGAAGAACCAATCAATAGCTAGCATTTATATAGCACCTACTGTGTACCAGGCACTGTGCTAAGCCCTTTACATATTTCTCATTTGATCCTCACAATAACTCTATTATCATCCTCCTTTTACAGATGAGAAGACCAAGGCAAATAGAGGTAAGTGACTTACTCAGGGTCACACAGCTAGTGAGAGTCTGAGACTAGACTTGAACTCAGTTCTTTCTAACCTGCAGCCTTGGCAATTTGCCCACTGCTCCACGTAGGCTGCCTCTGCTCTGTGCCACACGCTGCACCAAGCACAGGAGATTACAGATTAAAATGAAGCGGTTCCTTTCCTGGAGATTATGATATTCTAATGAAGGAGACAAATGATATAGATTTGAGTATATATAGAAAGTATAAATGATAAATACAAGTTAGTTTGGGGAGAGTGTGAACTAGCACCTGGGGAAGTGGTAGGGGGTGGGATCAGGAAAAGTCTCAAGTAAATGGTGGGATTTGAGTTAAGTTTTGAAAGACTCAGGAATTCTAAGTGGTGGCGATGAACAGAGGGTGCCTTCTAAGCCCAGGGAACAGCTACTGCCAACGCTCGGAGCGCAGTGATGAAATGTTATGTGTAAGCAGCCAGTTATCTAGAATAGCCGGAGCATAGTGTGCATGGAGGGGAGTCGTGTGTAGGAAGGCTGGGAAGCTAAGGATGGCACAGGTTACAGAGACATTTTGATGTCACAACAAGGAGTCTATATTTGATACTAGAAGTAATAGGGTGCCACTGGAGTTTACTGAGTAGGGGAGTGACGTTGGTCAGCCTTTCACTTTAGTGAAAATGTTTTGGTATCTATATGGAGGATGTATTACAGAGAGGAGAGACTCAAAGTAGGCAGCCTAATAAAGGAAGGTCTTTCAAGAGTTATAGTGATAAGGGACAGCAAGGTGGTGCAATGGATAGAGCACAGGCCCTGGTGTCAGGAGGACCTGGGTTCAAATCCGGCCTCAGACACTAGCTATGTGACCCTGGGCAAGTCACTTAACCCTGATTACCTCAACAACAACAACAAAAAAAGAATCAAAGTGATAGGAAATAAAGGCCTGAACTAGAATAGTGGCTTCATGAATGGTGAAAAAGAAACATAAGTGAAGGGCACTGGGGAAATGTTTTTTGTCCCTCATTTTTTAAGAGGACCACTGATGTCATGGGGTGAAGTCTTGACTTGTGTGTGAATTGGATTTAAATGAAGAACGCTGCACAAAATCATCAGCCTCACTGTCTCTTCCAGGGTCATCTAAATCCAGTGGCAGGACAATGAGATGACTGGCCATAGATCAAGATGCAGTGGATGGCCTTGGCATTTTTGATGTCTCACCAAACTCTAAGCGCTCCATAGAGCCTGCTTCAGCCACCTTCACGGCTGTTGGAACAAACCGTTCTCATCCAAACTGAATAGGTATATGGAATGAGAAAAAAGGAGATTGTATTCCTCTCCCTTCATTACAGGCTTTGGGAATTATGGATGTGCACATAATAATATCAGACTTGGTTGGTAAGTTTTTTCTTAGTATCCCCCACTGCCCCAACATGGTCCTGTAGAAAGGAATGGGTTGTGAATGAAGGTTATATAAAAACAAAACATTTTTAATGGAGTAATTGATATAATGACCAAGCTTGGCTTCAGGGAAGGGATTAAAAATGCACTTCCCTCTATTTATTGGAGGTGGGGGCACTGTGGGTGTGGAATGTTGCATATTTTATCAAATGCTATTGATGTGTTGTTGGTTTGGATAAACTACTTTTCTCTGTTTTCTTTTTAATGTCAACTTAAAAAAAACACACAACTAAAGAAGTCTTAAAGATCCAGTAAATCTCCTTTAATAAGTGAGAGCCTAGTGGCATTTTTTAAAAAATTAAAATATGACATAAAACAAACAAAAATTTTAAAAAAGGATCATATGGAAAATGGATAGAATTTGTTGTCCTTGGCCTCAGAGGACAAGACGACAGAAATAGGAAAAGATGGCAATGGTATAAAGAGTCAAATTTAGTTTTGAGGTAAATAGAGTGTGCGGCAGATGCTAATAATTAAGAGTCCACAAATGGAAGAAGCTGCCTTAAAAAGTAGTGGGTTTCCCCTCATCAGAGGGAAGTCTTCAAGTCCAATGACCACTTACTAGGAATGATCTAGACTATGGTTGGATCTAGGTATCCTCTGTGGTCACATCATATATTCTGAAAATTTGAGATTCTGATTCTGTGATTCTTAGTTATCTCTTATGGCTCCTCACACAGATTTAAAAAAAATCCCTCCTACTTCTTATCTTCTAGAGAGATTCTTCTTAACATTCTTGGCATGTTGTGTTTCTACTCATTGCTCATTGCTCACTTTCACTGATCTCTTATACTGTTGCCAATTATCTAGGGTCATGGGATTTAGAGCTGGAAAGATCCTTAGAGATCTGGTTCTCTAACCCCCTTATTTTATATAGGAAGAAAATGAAAGTCCCCACAAAAGTGGACTGCTTTCCCAAAAGTCCCATCCGCTGGGGTTTGAAACAGAAAACTTGGAATCCAAATTCAGGGCTCCATTCATGATATCTCTCTTCTTATGCATCCTTGAATATGCATTTCTAAAATCCAACTTTCCACTGACAAGCTTTACATAAATGTTTGGCCCATAACCTGAAAGGGAGTATAAGTACATTACTCTTAGGAGAGACATTGGGTTCTCTCTTACTGGAAGTCTTCAAGGCTAGATGTTTAAATAGAGTTTCTTTATGGGGTTATAGATTGGACTCAATGGCCAATGAGGTCTGTTACAGCTCTAAAAGTTTTGGTATTGCTAGTGCTTAACAAATGTTTATTGACTATGTATTTGAGGTGGGATTTGAATGATCTTCCTTAAACCAATTTCAGGACTCTATCCTCTATGCTACCATATCTCTCAGTATCACTGGGGCTGACAACAGGGATAAAAGCAATGTCTTCTTGAAGATCTTCTGTCCTCTATTTCCCTGGTATCTTTTCCTTGAAATCTTCATTTGCATCTCACTAAGGTTAGATCAGTGAATACCATAGTAGTATGGATTGTGTACAGGATTGGGAGACAAGAAACAATAGCCGGACTCACATTGTGGCATATATTTGGAGGTCTGGGGAGAGAATTGAAAGAAGAATAATTTACGTATGCTTTTCTTGGAGAAAAAACAAAAGCAGATTTTGAAAACTGAAGGGACTTCTAATCTCTGATGATCAGTTTGAGAGGGATCTCCTATAGCCCATCATGTTCAGGAAATCTCCTTCCTCTGTGGGCACCAGAATATCATATGCCCATGGAAAGGCTACTCACTGTGTGGTCTGCTGCATGCTGGAATCAGCCCCAAGTCTTTCATCTCTGGCCTTATTAATTCAAAATACTTGAAACTTAAAAAGTTGTCTCAGATTTCACTGTAAGCATCTACAGAAACATGGGATGGATTTTCAAACAATTAAGTTTGAAAAGAATTTTGATTTGCATATAAATAATAGCTGTGTTCTTCCCCCAATATCAAATTCCCAAATTGGAGGGGGAAATGAAACAAAACAGATGTGAATCAAGTTCCCAATATTTTGAAAGTCCTTAATGTTCAAGTACAAGGGGATACAAGGGATAGAGAGCTTATAAACTAGTGTATAGGGGTAAGTTCCTTGCATTTACAGCTCTGGACTCCTTTACTATTTCATAGTATCATAGATTTAGAGGTAAAAGAGATCTTTGAAATCACCTAGTTGAAGCTTCTCATTCTATAGATGCAGAAACTATGACCTAGGGAGGTTGTGACTTGCCCAAGGTCACACAGGTAGCTAATGAAGGTTTAATAATAATAGCTAGCATTTATATAGCACTTTAAGGCTTATAAAGCACATACACACACACATAGATAGATAGATAGATAGATAGATAGATAGATAGATAGATGATAGATAGATCACTTTATTTCTCTCTGTCTCTCTGATTAATAAAGTGCTTTGAAAACTTTAAAGTGATGTTGTTATTGTTATAGTATATCTGTAGCTATTATTATACTATATTTATAGATAGGTCTCTATCTATAACTTCATATAATCCTCACAACAACCCTGGGATTTATTCATCTTTGTTTTAAGGTTGAGGTAAATAACATCGAGGTTAAATGATTTGCTTAAGACCATGCAGCAAGTAGGTGTCTGAGGCAGGATTGAACTCAGTTCTCCCTGACTTTAATTTGACTGCTCTATCCATTGAACCATCTGTCCTGAGGGGTAGGAGGTTAATCCATGTGGACTTCTCCTATTGTTATAACTGTCTATTCAGCTGAAAAGCTTGGAAACCCTACTACTCTATGAATCCCACTATTCTTGTCTCCTCATTTCCTCTATCAACTCCCAGAGTCCTATTATGATGAGTTGAAAAGATGAGTTTCCATCACTGAGTAGTAGCCCTGGTGCAATCTGCCTGCAAGTGGGAAACAGATCTGAATCATGGGGAAACGTGCAAACTTTTTCTAGAAAGAAAATCTTGGTATTCCCCTCTTACCATTCAGCCTTAACAGTCTTTGGATATAGCATGGTGCAAGGGAACAAAAGAAACAAACAAAAAAAAAACGTGCTGGAATCCCAATGAGAAGACTTGGGTTCAAATGCCAGGTCTACCCCTTACTACTCATAAGGCTTCGTGCTAATCACTTAATCTTTCCTAGACTTAGTTCTATCTCATCTGTAAAATGAAGGAGTTAGGAAATAGATTGGGAGCTGGGAAGTAACCTTAGACCTCAGAGACCATCCAGTCCATCACCTGCATTTTAAAGTTGGAGAAACTGAGGTATAGAGAAACTAAATTTACCTAATGTTGCATAGCTTGCCAGAGATGGTTTCTAAGGTCCCTTACAACTCTTAATCTATCTTGTCATTGTCCTCTCCAGTCTCAAAAAAAAAATACAGGAGAGAAGGAGGAGTGAAGGGCGTGGTAAGTGAGATTCCCACATGTGAGGGGGTTCCCTACATCTGAGGGACTTTCACAAGGAGTGGATTGGTGTGAGCAAGCAGGAGGAATCCACTTCTCTTCTCCTGAGGCATCGGCACCACAGCTGTCCAGTTAGGCTCCTCTTGAATATCTAGGAACAAAATAAATGAGGGTTAAGCTCTGACAAGCCATTGTCAGCTTTTGTATACGCCATATATTGGGGAAAAGTTAGGCCTATATTTGGGTCAATGTAGAATACGGAGCAAGAAGCAGGAGGTAAATGGCATAGGAAGGTAGCTAGGTGACAGAGTAGAGAGACAGACTAACCATCCGGAATGAATCCTATTTCAACTTCACTAACTGTGTGGCTCTGGGCAGTTACTGAACCTCTAGCCCTCAGTTTCATCATCTGTAAAATGAGAATATTAATAGCATTCACCTCACGAGGTCGTTTTGAGAGCAAGTAAGATAATAGATGTGAAATGCTTTGTAAGCCTTATATTAATGTTATTATTATTACAGTAGACAGAATCAGGAACCAAGACAGAATCTTGGAATCAGGAACCCTTGGCTCAATCAGCTAGTTAATAGGCATTTATTAAGCATTATGTAGCAGACATGGTTCTAAGTCCTAGGGATACAAAGAAAGGCAAAAACATGAGCCTTGCCTTCAAGGAATTCACATTATGACAGAGAGAACAACATGCAAATAACTATGTGTATATGAGACATATAAGTAGAAGCTAATTTCAATGGGAAGGCCCTGAGGATGGCTGGGATAGAGAGGGAAGTCCAAAAAGGGCCTCTTGCAGAAACTGGGATTTTAGTTCAGTCTTGAAAAAGACAAGGGAAGCCAGGAGGTAGAGGGGAATAGGGAGAGAATTGAGGCATAGGGGATGTTGATGGAAGGCTATGGAATTGGGAAATATATAAGGAACAGCAAAAAGACCAGTGAATCTGGATATGTTGAGGGGAATAAAGGTCAAAAAGGCTGGAAAGGTAGGAAGTGTCCATGTTATGATTGAAGGGCCTTAAATAACAAACAAAATATTTTATATTCCTTTGTGGCGGCAATAGGAAATCACTGATGTTTATTGGTATGGGGGGGCGGGTTAGGGAAGAGTGACATGGTCAGACTTGCACTTCTGGAAAATCACTTTGACAGGTGACTGGATGATGGACTGGAGTGGGGAGAGACTTGTTGAAGGAAGACCAAACAGGCAGATAGTGGAATAGTATAGGTATAAAGCGATGAGAACCTACACTAGGGTGGTAGGTGTTTCAGTAGAGAGAGGGGAGTATACACAAGAGATTTTGTGAAGGTTGAATTGATAACACTTGACAGAATATAAGATATACGAGGTGAGTGCTGGTGAAGAGTCTAGCATAATATTTATGTTGTGAGCCTAGGTGTTTGGGAGAAAAGCGCTGCCCTAAACAGTAAGATGGAAAGACTTCAGGAGAAGCTAATGAGTTCTATTTGGAATATGCTGTGTTTGAGATGCCTATAGGACATGCAGTTCATGATATCCAATGGACAGTTGGAGATGCTGGACTAAATCTCAGCAGAGAGATTGAGGCTGTTTGTATAAGTCTGGGATTCATCTGCTTAGAGATGATCATTGAAGTTATTGGAGCTGATGAAAAGACCAAGACAGCAAAAAAGGAGAAAAGAAGGGGTCCCCAAGACTGACACTTTCTAATGAGGTGGGAGAGAGAACATGAACAGAGATAAGTAAATATTAACTATATGCCATGTAATAAAGGATAACAACTGGTGGAATCAGGAAAGGGCTCTGTCAAAAGCAGCCCTTGAGTTGAGCCTCGAAGAGTGGCAGAGGTTCTAAGGAAATAAGGGTGACCCAAAGAGGCCTGAGGGTTGGAGACAATCAGGGAAAAGAACAGGATGGGAAAAAGAAATGCTGTGTATGGGGGATAATAAGTGGGCTAGTTTGCATGGAAACCTTAGATCACTCCCCTCCAGAAAAAGGGTTTACCAGAGACAGAACAAACTTAGTTTCCCGTTTTGTTTTCAGTGAGACTGCATGATGCCAAAACATCTGGATATTCAGAAGGATTTGGATAAGTGGTATAGTGTCCAAAGATCACTTAAATGATTGGTGTCTCCATTTGCTCTGGCAAGATACAAACTGAGTTTTTGTCATGGAGGACGCTAAGTTGATTTTTGTGTTTCATAATAAAAATTTTCTAAAGCCATATTATTATGTAAACAGTAATGAGTTTCAGAAGATGTCTTTATAATTTTAAATTGGATTAGCATAGTGTGTTGCAAAGCACTCCACAGAAGAGCCAGAAACCATGCGGGGTTCTTGGCTTGGTTCTGAGTCACCTGGGGCAAGTCACTTTCTCTGAGTCACCTCCTGTATCAAATGAGGATCTTGGACCAGATTATTTTAGTTTCTTTCTAGCTCTGACAGTCCATGATTCAATATCCAAAAGAAATGACACTGATGCTCTGGCAAAAGGAACATATTTTTGGCTACTTGGAGAAATGTCTGTTACTAGGCAGAAATCTTTAGGCAGTGCCTTTATTTCACCCCTCTTCTTTCAATCATTACATTTCAAAAAGTAACATATAGAAAAAGCAAATACTGGCAAGAAAGGGAAAAAAAAAGCAAAAATCCTGTCTGCTTCAAAATTCCTGGAAAGAAAAATCAACATTTCCGCTAGGATTTATGTGCACTGTGAGATAATTACTGTACAGCTTTCAATGAAATTAACTATCATACAGATGTGGCCTCTCAGTGTGGCAGCCAGATGTAACTTCTCAGTTTGACTCAGACTTTCTCCCCCCTCCTCTTCTTTTACTCTCTTCTTGAAAGGACTAGAGGAATAAAAGCAATAGACTTCTGCTAATAGTCTCAAATTAATGTTCTCCTGAAATCACAGATTTAGAGGAGGAAGTGACCTCCTGGGTCATCTAGTCGAGCTTCCACATTTCACAGAGGAAAAGGCTGAGGTTATGAAACTTGCCCACGGTCATTCACACAGGGCATAGGTGAGAGAGTTGGTATTTGAACCCAGGTCCCCTGACTTCAAAAGAAGCACACCCTCCATTTTACATACGGCTATTTATTATATGGCTTGCTGCTGTTGTCCTTTCAGTCGTGAATGACTCTTCGTGACCCCATTTGGAGTTTTCTTGGCAAAGATACTGGAGTGGTTTGCCATTTCCTTCTCCAGCTCATTTTACAGATGAGGAACTGGGGCAAACAGGGTTAACTAACTTGCCCAAGGTCACACAGCTGGTAAGTGTCTGAGGTCAAATTTGAACTCAGGAAGATGAGTCTTTCTGACTCTAGATCTGGCTCTCCATCCACTGTGCCATCCAGCTGCCAATTATATTGCACAGGGCCTTTATTGCCAAGCTAGACAGTTTACATTTTATCCTAGAGGTGTCATGGCCCATTTGATAAAGAGCTAGACCTAGAATGAAAATGCCCCAGATTTGAATCTAGCCTCTGACACCTCCTAACTATTTGACAATAGGCTGAGAGACAGTCACTGAGCCTACTTCCTTATTTGTAAAATAAGGAAAGCAATATCTTTGTTGCTCGTCTCAAGCAGCAACAGAGTGATAGAGAACTGGCTTTAGAGTCACAAGTTTCTTATCCTGCCCCTGACAAATATTATCTATGTGACCATTAGCAAGTATGAACCCTCAGAGATTCTTTAAGGTTATAAGTTACAGAAAAGTTGCCAATATGAATTAGGGATACAGAGAATTTTCATACAGCAATGAAATCACAGCTACAGAGCAAAACCGAACAAATACAAAACAAGCAAAATGAAAGCACCTGTCTCAGAGTTTGTGAAGCCCATATGAAATAAAACATATAAAACTTCACAAATAGAGTTTTAAAAAAATGAAGTAATATGTACACATCAGCTATCTTAAAATATAAACATTTTTGTTTGATATGCAAATATGATGCAAATATGGAATATATGCGTATTCCATAATAATGCAAAGTGGAAACAAAATTAACCCACCCCAAAAGGTTTGATGATATTTGTAGATATTAGGGAGAATGGAATGGTAAAAGAATCCATGGAGACAGAGTGACAGAGAAAATAATTTGAAATTTAGGAGTCAGAAGGCCTGGAATTACATCCTGACTCTGGATATCATAATCCACTTATGTCCTCCATAACATTGGGCATGTCACCTAATCTCTCTGGGCCTCAGCTTTCTCATCTGTCAAACAAAGGTTAACTAGTTAACCTTTGAAGTGTTTTCCAGATTTAAATCTATGATCACCAAAGTCTAGCAAGATAAGAGCATGGCTGGATGAAGAATGGAATATATCAGGTGAAGGTGGGTAAATGAGTTTCCCTTGCATCTCTATAATGCCAATCAATTAAGGAATTCATGATAGACTAGAGCAAAAATGATGAGTGCCATGTTGCTGACCACTCTAATCTCCCTATCGGATGATAAAAAGAAAGTGACAAGAAAACCCCTGGTATTTCCAGCTGCAATGAAATCAATGTCCAAATCAAGATAGCAAATGAACAACTCTGTAAAATATATATTGGAAGCTTCATGGATGAGATGATATATGAGCTGAGCCTTATGGGAGGAGAAGGATCTTAATGTTACATCATCACCATCCCAGCTTCCATCCTTTCTTTTCTTCCTTTTTAAAATTTATTGTTCAATTAACATTTTTTTCTCTTGCCCATAGCCTTCCTCTTATATCTATTAGTTTAAAAAAAAAAAGCAATGAGCAAGCATTTATTAAGCACTTACTTTCTACTAGGCACTGTATTAGGCAGTAAGGGTCGCAATAAATGGTTAAAGACAGTGCCTGCTCTCAAGGAGCTTACAGTCTAATGAGGAAAATAAAACGCAAAACAACTAAGGACAAACAAGATATAGAAGCGATAAATTGGAGATAATCACAGAGGGAAGGCATTAGCATTAAAGGAAGTCAAGAAAGGCTTGCTGTAGCATGTAAGATTTTAGTTAGGACTTGAAGCAAGCCAGGGAAGCCACGGGACAGAGATGAGGAGGGTTAAGAATTTCAAACATGGGAAACAGCCAGAGAAAATTAATGGAATCAGTTGACAGAATAACTTGTGTGAGATAGAAGGATCTTAATGTGATAGCATCACCATCCCAGCTTCCCTCCTTTCTTTTCTTTCCTTTTTAAAATTCACTTGTTCAATGAACACCATTACAATTTGACAGCTGAATGAAGGAGTACTGGAGTAGGTAGAGACTTGAGGCTGTGACAGCCACCACCAGGTTATTGCAATAGTCTACATATAAGGTCTGGTCTGGGGTAGTGGCAATGTTAGAAAAGGGAAGGAGGCATATAGGAAAAACAAAACCCTTGTAATAAATATGCATGGTTAAGCAAAACAAATTCCTATATTGGCTGTGTCCAACATGTTTGTCTCATGCTGTGTTGAATCTATCATGACTCTGAGAGTAAGTGAGTAGTATATTTCATCATCAGTCATCTGGCATTAGGTTAGGTCATTGCACTGATCAGAGTTCTAAAGTTTTCCAAAGTTGTTTGTCTTTCCAGTGTTGCCATCATTATGTAAATTGTTATCCTTGCTCTGCTCACTTCACTCTTCCTCAGTTTATAAAGGTCTTCCCAGGTTTCTCTGAAACCATTCCTTTTATCCCTTACAGTATAATAGTATTCTATAACATTCATAGACCATAGCCTTTCTTATTGTCCTTGGCCTTGCCTGATCCCCTGACTTGGATCTGTGATTCATAGAACAAGTAACTAGCAGGGTGGTAATTATCAACATGAGCTTATGTGCACTCTACTGTTTTGTTTTTTTCTCTCCTTTTCACTCACTCTCTTGAATATTGATCTTGTTTACCTTTAATCAGGAGCATCTGTATATTATCCAGACTACCGCGCTTTGCGCTCATCCTGAGCAGCTTATGACCATCTCTTCCTATTGGATGTAGAGGATCTGGTTGTTCAGTTAGTAAACATTTATTAGGCACCTATTATGGGATAGGAACTATGCAAAGTACTGCAATCACCTGTTGGCTATCACTTCAGTTCTGAAAAAGAATACAGTCCTGCAAGGACAAGTGAAGATATATCGTTGGTTAGAAATTAGTGAATCAGAGCAGGGAAGTAAGGTAAAGATCGTTAAGTTGAGAAAAAAGAAAAAGGAAACTCATAAGATGATACAGCTAAAACTAGAAGGGGCCTCATAGATCTCCAACCCTCATTTTCTTTCTTTCTTTTTTTTTTATTAGACAAGACCAACTCATGGTTATTTATTTCTGTGTAAACTCCTTTTCTGGGATTCCCACTCCAAATCGGGGGAGGGGAGGCAGGATTACCCTCCTTAGGGTGGGATGGAAGGATGGTTCTTACCAAGGACATCAGTGGTGAGGGAATGTCATCAAGAGAACAAACTAGTCTGTATAAAATGGTAAAGGATTGGAGAGCATGTGTATGGAAGACCATATTCTCCCCTAAGACCCCTGTGATACTGTCTATCCATACACCAAAGTGGCCACGACAGCCTCATTTCCTAGATGAGAAGGCCGAGGTCAAGTGCCCTGACTTTATTGTCCCCAGGTTGCTTGTCTCCTCAAGGGAGAACTAGGCACCTTATTGTTTTGATTTCAGCTCCTCTTCAGAATCCTGAGCAACAATTCTATTTTGGGCTCTTGTCAAAGAAAAAAGGGGGGGGGGGGAAAGCTTTGTTTTGTTTTTTAAAGGTGCCCCCAGAGTACTAATATAAATCAAGGATAGACCAGGCAGTTTTATTCCTGTGACAGAAAAGAACTGATAAGCAATAAAGAATCAAATATTAATTTCAATCATTTGACAGATTAATATGAAAACCTCACTGGGATCTTTGTAAGAAGGTTATTTGTTCCACACTCCGCTGAGTTCAGCCTGATCGCTGCCAAGTGAGGTCTTTAATCTGTGCTAGTTTCTTTCTCTCTGTGGGTAACTCTGTCCCCATCCACCAGTCTGGGAATGCCTCTGCTGCTGACTGTTTCTGAGTAGAACTGCTCCAATCTCCAATACCCTGCCAGCGTGCCCAGGAAATGGGAAGATACCAGCTACCTTTCATGATCTCATGAGGCCCCTAACTGAAGGCAAGAAGACCGAAAGAGGAAATGGCCACAACCCAGACACAGGCTTGCATAAGGATGTGATGAGCTCACTGGCCATCCAAGTCCAATGAAGGGCCTTTTGTGATGGGCCCTTCAGAGCTCGTAGGATTGTCCTCCACCTTAAGGGAAGCAGGAAGACCAGGAATTTCCCTTTTAGTGTATTTGTGGAGTTCCAGCACAGCAGGCAATTAATTTCTGTCTTTGTGACAGAAAAGAATTCTCCATCATGCATCATTAGGAAAAAGCTACATAGGTATTTTGTACATATTTATCTGTGTATGTGTTATTTCCCTCTCTGAAGAATGTAAGTTCCCTGAGGTGAGGGGACTGATTTGTTTTTGTCTTTGAATCTCAGAACCTAGCACCATGTTTGGCATACAGCAGGTGCTTAATAAATGCTGAATGGAGAAAGGTCTGTCTGAGAGAGTTGCTAGAGTATATATAGATGGAGGGGTGGGGAACCTGTGGCCTCGAGGTCACATGTGGCCCTCTAGGTCCTCAAGTGCGGCCCTTTGACTGCATCCAAACTTCACAGAACAAATCCCCTTAATAAAAAGATTTGTTCTGTGAAACTTGGACTCAGTCAAAGGGCCACACCCAAGAACCTAGAGGGCCCCATGTGGCCTCAAGGCTGCATGTTCCTCATCCCTGTTCTAGCACAAGGAAAAGAATATGGCTCTGTTTCTAGCAGAAGAAACATAGGCAGCAAGAGTCTATACCCTCTTCCTGGCCATTAACCCTTTCTCCTTCCTTCTCCTCAATTCTACTTTCTACCGATCAGAGTCAAGCTGGCAACAAAGTTGTAATGGGAGCATATAATGGTCACTGGAAAAGTATCCCAACAGACAAGTTCTCTACAGAGATATTAATACACGCAAAGTGCTTTGTAAGCCTTAATGCATTATATAAAACATGCTAGTTACATTTGTTATAGCAAAATGCTTTTCCCGTATAATCTCATTTGCCTCTCACATAACAACCATGTGAGTTAAGCAATACAGGCCTTATTATAATCCCCATGCCATATGGCTATTTTATTCTTCTTAAGATTTTTTCCTTTTTCAGTGTCTAGTACAGTGCCTGAAATATAGTAGGTACTTAGTGAATGCTTATTTAATTGATTCTCTCCTGCAAGCGTGTGATCAGTGTTCAAATGGCTAAAAAAGCCAGTATAGACTGAAAAAACAATAACCCTCCCCAGCAGGAAGCAGTCAGAAAATGGCCAAAAAGGGAACAAATAGCTAGCTTTAGCTGGGATGATGATGGGTAGAATAAGTAAAACTGGGGGATTCAATGAAGAGAAACCTGGAAAAATAATCAGAACAGAGAATCTGAGAATAGATTTCAGGCTATGCCGAAATGGGGAATTTTTTAAAGCTCACATTGGGCATGCATTGTTATATCCCTGGTACCCAGAACTAAACTTAATAAGTATTTGCTGAATGGAGTGAATTGTTCTGTTGGACTAACTCCAGAGATGTACCACAGGATAGAAAGGCTTCATTTCTACCCTACCCAGATTGGTTCAAACTACACTTGGAAGCGAGCCTTCATTCTAGGAAACCCAATTGAAGGCATTCAGCCTGGAGGAACGTAGATGATTAAGGGAATAAAAGAAATGGTTTGTAAGGAAAGACTAAGGCATGGAAATAGGAATAGCTTATTTAAATGGCTAATGTGTGGTGAGTTAACAGTCTATAAATATTAGGCTGGTGTAAACACCAAAGAGAAGAGAGAATGATTGACCACAATATTTTTGAAAAAGGAAATCTGGGAGTAATGAGATGAAATGAAGGGAAAGAAGGTTAAGAAAGAATATCAAGGAAAGCCATGAGCTCCATTAGATTACAGCCCAGACTACCCAGGAAGTAGTGGAAGTCTCACAACTGGGAAGCTTAACAATGAGTCTGGGACAGACGGGAGGGAATGGACTGCACAGAGCCAGCCTGCTCTCCTATCCAGGCCCGGAGACCTCTTGGTGGATTGTTTTCTTCTGTATTTTCTAGGATTTGGGGATTCTAAGAATCATAGTAAAAGTTGTAAGTCAAGGCCAAAATCTGGAACAGATGTGAGCCAAAAGTTGTTTTTTCTTTGCCTAATGCAATGCATGTAATATGCCTGGGATCTTTGACCTACTTTTGTCAGCTTGGAGAACATAAGTCTCACAGCAGAAAACATGCTATTAAATATTCTTCATAGCTCCAGAAATATACTCCATATTACCTTTTGGTTATTGGATCCTTGATCTTCTTCTACTGTGATGTTGATGTTATCATTACCAGATGGCTGGCCGTGCGCCTCTGGTTACCCAGGTTCATTGCTCTAACAAACAAGGAAAAAAGTGCAAACATTGGAATCATATTGGATGAAATAATAATATGTAAAAGAAATAAAATGGAGAGAGCCAGAGGAGACTGACATCCCATGTTGTTGTGGAAGGACTAAAAAGGTCAATGCCAAGACAGCTTTGGAAGCTGCTATCAAGATTATAAAGAGGGATTTAACATGTGAACTTCCTCCACTGGTGCTTAGAAACAACTCTTCCTAACTTTGATTCCCAAAGCATTCTTTGGTGTTGGGTGTTGCGTGATGCGGTTGGGGAGGAATTCAGTCAAGAACTATTTATTAAACACAAAGTGGGTCCAGGCACTGTGCTAACTGATACAAAGAAAGGCAAAAACCCAGATCCTGACCTCAAGGAGACAATATTCTAGTGGAGGAGATAACATGCAAAACAACTATGTACCCACAAAATGTATGCAGTGCAAATAGAAGATAATCTCAGAAGGAAAGGACTGCTTACTGGGGACATAGGAGAGACTGGGAAAGCTTTCCTGAAGAAAATAGGATTTAACCTGAGTCTTGAAGGGGGCCAGGAAAGCGAGGAGGCAGAGGTGTGGAGGGAGAGCTTTCTATCTAGAGAGGACAGCAATGCAAAGGTATAGAGCTGATGGATGGGGTGTTGTGTGGGGGGAAAGCTAGGTGTCTCAGTGGATAGAGTTCCAGACCTGGAATCAGGAATATTCAACTTCATGAGTTCCAACAGGGCCTCAAACACTTACTAGCTATGTGACCCCGGACAAGTCATTTAACCCCTATTTGCCAGTTTTCTCATCTGTAAAATGAAATGGAGAAGGAAATGGCAAACTGCTCCAGAATCTTTGCCAAGAAAACCCCAAAATGGGGTCACAAAGAGTTGGACATGACTGAAAAATGACTGAGCAACAACAAAGACTGGGGGAAGCAGTGGGTTGGCCTCTGTGACAGTGTATAGGCATGGAAAATAGTGTAAGATGATTGGAAAGGTAGAAAGGGTCCAGGTTATGAAGGGTTTTAAATACCAAAAAACAAAACAAAACAAAAACATTCTATATTTCATCCTGGAGGTAAAAAAGGAGTCACTTCAGTTTATTTAGCAGATGAGTGACATGTTCAGACCTATACTTTAGGAAATCAGTTTTTTGGCAAAGAGGTGAGGAGAGCCTCTCTCATCTATAAAATATGTATATTCAACAAATAGAAAAAACCCACCTTGGTGATATTTGTATAAGCTTGTCTTTGTGAAGTTTGGTTTCAAAGTTAGATTAATTTTGGCAACTGTTTGGGGTTTTTTTTTTCCATTTTTTCACAAGCAAGTCTTCACATTTCTTAAACCGCATTGAATCCCTCACCTCACACATTTTTATTTTCCAAATAAATAATCACTGCTGCTTACCTATGAGAGTCCCACTCAGCTAGACCCCCTTTCCTACTACCACCTGAGGCAAATAAGGTCTTCTTCCACATTACTTACTGTTTCCTTTCATGGGACAGATAGAAATGACCTATGAAATCCAATATAGAATTGCACATCGAAAAACAAGGGCCAAGCACATTTCACAGTACACTAGTGGCACCCTAAGATGTATTTCAGAATCATTTGTATCAGTCCACAGGCCTTTCCTTCAGCATATTTTCATTTGTATATGCCTTTTCTGAAACTTAGATGCTTACGTAAATCCATGGCCTCCTTTGTTATGTGTTTAGATGGTCTCCTCTGTAGGCTCAACAAAGTTTAATTCATATGATACAACCACTGAATTGATCTGTATCTTTCAGTTAAATTTAATTTAAAAAATCACAAACGTTGTTACTGTTTTGCTTTTCTTTAGCATATTGGGTCATTCAAATGTGATAATATTGGAAGAGCAGATCAGGACCATATTTGTAGAGGGAAAGAGTTTCGGGAACAGAATGGTGAATGTAAACTTTATCTTGTAGCTGATAAATAGTAATATAATAATAATAACAAAGTTCATCATGATGATGATAATGATACAACAGCTGTTACTTTTAGAGTGCTTTAAGGTTTGGAAAGCACTTCAAAAATATTGTCTCCTTTTATTCTCACAACATTACTGGGCATTTGGTGCTATTATTATCTCCACTTTACAGATGTGGAAACTTCAGCATATAAAGGTCAATAACTTGCCCAAGGTCAGACAGCTAGTAAATGTCTAAGGCTGGATCAGGGCAGCTAGATGGTTCAATGGATAAAATCCCAGGCCTGGAGTCAGAAAGACTCATCTTCATGAGTTCATATCTGGCCTCAGATACTTACTAGCTATGTGACCCTGAGAAAGTTGCTTAACCCTGTTTGCCTCAGTTTCCCCATCTGTAAAATGAGGTAGACAAGGAAATGGCAAATACCTCCAGTATCTTTGCCAAGAAAACCTCAAATGGGTCACAAAGACTCAGAAATGACTGAACAAAAACTGCCTCACTTTGGTCCTGATACTCTTTCCACTGAACTACCTGGTTGCCTAATTGAGATCCTTTGACAGTTTTTGAATAGATTCAGTTCAATTTAACAGGCATTTATTGAGTGATTCCTCTGTACCAAGTAATGAAATACCAGTAATTGCATTCCATTGTAGAGATGCAATATATATTTGTGTGTTTGTGTGCATATGTGTGTGTGTGTGTGTGTGTGTGTGCATACAAACTATACACAGAATAAATGATAAGCACTTTTTTTGGGAAAAGGGATAGGGAGACCAGGGAAAACGCTACAAAATGGAGGATACCGAAAGGCCACCTATAGAAGATGGTGCTGAACTATGCTTTGAGGGCAGCTAGACATCCTCCAAAGCAGAGGTGATAAGGGAAAACATTGTAGACACAAAAAACAGTTTGCATTTATAGAGGTAGAACTTGAGATGTCATGGACAAGATTGCTTTGTACATGATAAGTACTTTAAATTGTTTATTGAATTGAATCAAAACACAAAAGCGGCTTTTAAAAAAAATCAGGGTATTTTAAAATTTATTTTGGACTACAAACTTGTTGTCAGTTACTGTTCCTTGGCAATGCTAGTAATAATAGTTGATATTTATATAACCCTTTAAAATTCCCATAATTTTGCATCATGCCTTATTTCATTTAATTTTCAAAACAACCTATTAGACTAGTACTATAGGCATTTTGACACCTCTCTTCCCTACCTTTTTTTCTAACAGATGAAGAAACTGAGCCTCAGAGAAGTCACATGAATTGCCTTCCTGACTCTATGTTCATCACTCTGTTCTCTATAGTAGCATGCCTCAATATTGATGATGCAGCACTAGAATGGTGGTTTCAAATGTGTCCTGTGAGGGTTCTCCAGATGGCCCACAGATGGGGGTCTCTCATAATGTTCACATGCAGAGTATCATAACATCTAGACTTTTGTTTCTGTGGTGGATAACTGATTTTCTGAATTCCCTCACTAATGTTACTATAGATCATTATTTAAGTCCCATTCCCCATCCCCACCACCTGATTCCTTATTCCCATCCCCCACAACCCTCTCTTATCTAGGTTTCACCCTAATTCTACCTAGCCCTTCTGCTATGAACTCTGGAATGTCTGTTCCACAGACAAAAAAAAAAAAAACTTCCCTTCATCTTAAATCTTTTGCTCTTCAACTCCTTCCATCTATTAGCTCTTACTGAAACCTGACTTACTCTTGGTTACACAACCTCCCTGTCCTCCCTTTCCAGTCCTGGCTGCCCCTTCACTCATTCTCCTCAGCTCCCTGGTTGAGGAAAGGGAGTCGCAATACTCCTCACTTTCCATTGCTACTTCTAAGTTCTCCCCCTACCTCCATCACTCAGTAACCTCTCTTCCTCTGAGGTGCGTGTTATTCACATGTACCACCCAATCAAAATCTTGGTAGCTGTTGTCTACAGACCCCGAGGTTGCTCTTCTTCTCAACGAATTCAGTACTATGCTCACAATTTTTCTCTCCTCTCCAACTCATGCCTTTATATTAAGGCATACATATTGACTCTCCCTCAAATACCCTAACCACTCAAATACTCAACCTACTCACTTCCATGTTGTTTTCCATTCAGTTAAGAGGAGTCTTGTTCTGGTGTGGAGCTGGCTAGAACAGTGTTATCAAAATCAAATAGAAGTTGTTATTGTTGTTGTTGTTGTTAAGTCATTCAGTCATATCCTACTCTTACTGACCCCATGGATCACAGCACGCCAGGCCTTTCTGTCCTTTACTATCTCTCAAAGTCTGTCCAAGTTCATGTTCATTGTTTCCATGACACTACTTATCCATCTCCTCTGCCATCCTCTTTTCCTTTCACCCTCAAACTTTCTCAAAGTCAGGGTCTTTTCCAATGAGTCCCATTTCATAATGTGGCCCAAATATTTACAATTCAGCTTTGGTATTTGGCTTTCCAGTGAATAACCTCAATTTCTTTAAGGATTGATTGATTTGATCTTCTTGTCCACAGGACTCTCAAAAGTCTTCTCCAGCACCCTACATAAGGATCCTAGAGGGTGCATATTGACTAAGAAAAGTACACATTAACATTATCTGTATTCTGTTGTATTTTTATTTATTTTGTTAAATATTTTCCAATTACATTTTAAGCTGGTTTGGCTATTCTAGGGACTGTTTCAGGCTTCTTTGAAGACTACCAGCATGTTCAACACCTCTGGTCTAGATGATCTCTGAGGTTTCGTCTAACTCTGAAATTCTATGATATCAAGGGAGGAGATATAAATTATACCATGTATGAGATGTGCCTAAATTACCATGCTGATCCTGAACAAGGCTACCAGAATTTATTGCCCCTTTTCAAAGCCATCATCTGGGGAGGCTTCACCCTTATTGCAATGATGTGGCCTTTTTCTTTTTTTTTTTCTTTTTTTAATTAATTTATTTATTTTTAGTTTTCAATCTTCACTTTCACAAGATTTTGAGTTCCAAATTTTCTCCCCATCTCATCCCTCTCCCAACCCCACATGGCATGCATTCTGAATACCCCTAATCTGCCCTCCCTTC